CGATAAGTTGTCATTGTTTGAATTAGCAGAGGTGATCAATCTCTTACCAAATTAAGTAACAACTGGCCCGACACAATTAATAGACAAACAAAAGCCTTTGCAAGTTTACAAGCCTACTAAGGCATATAGTAAATCAGTATCAAGTATAAAAACTTAACTGAGTTAAAAATTTCGCCTGTCGTAATAAGGGAAACTCACAAATTTTGTTAAGTGTTAACTGTCCTTTTGTTTGGGTAACATTTTAAGTTTTCACATTTTTTTTCATAGGAATATTTAGTTTTGAGCAAGTCCGAAAAAGCAAAATTTTTACAAATTTCCTTAAAGTTTTTTTTTCCGATTTAATCGTGAAAATGATTCATAAATTAACACCGAGAGTGAAGGAGAAATTGAAGCTTATTTTTCTTTGAGTTCTGAGTAGGAGGGAGGGAATGTCGAACATCTAAGTAGACCATCGTAAACCATTCCGGGGTCACTTCATCGACGATTAAATCCAGAGCAACACTGGCATATCTAAACCTTCCGTAGGTCACTTATTAAGTAAAAGGATGGGATTTCTTCAGAACGAAATTAGGCGATTTTTTCCCAGTCACTGGGATGGGAACCTTCGGCGATTCTCTTTTTCACACCCGTTGGGTGATGGGATGAGAAATTGCCATAGCCGACCTCTAAAGAACTGCGTAGCACTGCCAGGCCTAAGATTCAAATTTATAAACACTATTTTTCCTTTACAGGTTTCCTCCGCAAAGCAAAAATCCTGCGAGGCTTGAAATAACGGTGGATCCACACCGATATTTTTTAGTTAATTAAAGTCAAAACAGCATGATTAATGAGTCCATGTTGCGCATAATCTTTTTTATTTAGTAGCGATCAAGCACGTAGGTATAGTTTTTTCATGGGGGGTGTTTTGTGATTGAAGAATTTATTAACTAGATGTAATTTAATTAAACCAGTTACATACATACAAGTAAACTCATTTTGGTTTTGATAAAATAATCTAATACAGAAATTTTCACTGTAAGCTTCATTTGAAACTAAGAATCACAACCAGTGATCTAAATGAGATCAAAATAAAGGCAAGACATAAACGTCGTTGATCGCTTCCCTTCGATTGGGACATAAGCGAAATTCAAATAAAAAGAACATTAAAGCAAAACCACCGTTATTGTCAAAAATTCACGTATAAAATATCAATAAAAATTCATCTGTTCACCGCAAATTATAATGCGTTTAAGCAGCCAAAATAATATATAAAAAAATGAATTCTTTACGAAGTAGANATATATATATTTAAAAAATGGATGCAGATGCAACAGACAGATTTAACAATACAAAGCAAAAGCAAAAAGCACATTTTAAATATACATTGCCAGTTTTTGCAGTTTACAATAGCTAAAAATAGCTACGTTTATTTTGAGTTATCAAGACTCATGTATGAAATTAGAGGAGAAGGTAAATGGCAAGTTTCAAGAAGCTTTGTTGTGCATACATCATTTTTCTTTTTTATGATGTATCTAATATGAAACCGACAAATGTGTTTCAAACTCGGAACATTCCCAACAAAGCGATCCGTTGAAATAAGTCGTATAAGTTTCAAAATTTTCTTCCACTTCAGGCCGAAGTATGGTGTATCATTGAGAAGAGCATAACAGCAGTCAATAAAGTATGGGGAATTTCTTTCAATTTCGGATACGAATTTATATGGTAACTTGCCTTTATATTGGGTAAAAAGTTTCAAACAATTTAACAAGTTACACGTTTCCTTCCTGGCACAATTTATGCAAGCATCTTCATCGGTTATACGAGCTCCAAGATTTAACAGAAGGCGAACTACACGTGACTCTTTTTTCCCTGTTGCCATGTATATTGGGCGCTTACATACACATAAACAGTTTTTCAAAAACATCGGAAAATCTATAGGTTTTTCAGCTATTTTACTATTCTTTATGGGATATTTGAGTCCCGCGGCTGCTGCGTAGCTCATTATTTCCATAAAAACATTGGAAAATTCAGAATAACTTAAACTGAAAGGTTTGTGCTTATTTTGTTTCTCTCCAATGTATGTCGCGTAGGCTGGTAATTCCAATCTCTTTAAGCCATTTAAGCGAGAAACAGTAAAAAGCAATTGGAATAATTCATCGAATGACTCATGGTGAAGGTATTGGGCGTCAAGAAATTCTTGCATCATGCGTTCCTTAAGATCTTGATTTAAGCTATTATTTTCACACAGTGCCGCAAATTCCTTAAACCACAACAACGTGATACAGTGGCGACGTTGATAAAAATTTCGCCTTGAAACCTTTAAATGATATTTTGAGTTTATTTCTTTCAAAACTCTCATTGAGCTTTCTGTGAGATTTATGCAACAAAGACGTGAGTAAAAGATGCCTGTATTGTAGCCTGAAAAGTACAACATTAACCAAGATGGATAACGATTCAAATCCAACAGAGAAAGATTCAAATCGTATTTTGCATTTATTTTCTTTAAAATGATTTCCGACTTTTTCCAGTTTTCTTTAGCATAAATAAGTGAGCAAATGGTTGTGTTGTTTAAATCCAACTTACTGCAAAAACTTCCCATTCTTTTCTTTTGAGATTTAAATAAATTTAAATGAGTAATATAATTTAATAAAGAGCATGCGTTGAGTTGTTTTAAGTCTGTTACCAATATTAGTTATGCTTATGCTGGTATTAAACGTTTCGGGAAAATTTTTTATTAATTTTATTTAACTTTAAATTGCTTTAAGACGGATAACACAAATTTTTTTTTACAAATATCTGATTTTACCTAATTCGGTTGTGGGGATTGCAAATATGAAATTAGTTTTTTTCTCGGAAAGCTGCAAATTTCTTTCAAAATGATAATTTAAATTTGATTTATTTATGGTCTGAATCTGTAAGTTTATAAAGAACGTATATACATGCATATACACTTGTTTATATACATGCATATGCATTTGTGCGCTACTTTGTATTTAACATTTAAGACAAAAAAAATTTATGACTTTCATGCATCGAATTATAAACTAAATCAATTATTGTCTTCTTTTACTCTTTATGTAGCAGAGAAGTGGAGACACTTTACACACAGGGGTGTCAATTTGTTTTACTTAAAGTGAAAGTGGTAGCAAAATTTTTGTTTCAACGAATGATTCTTTGATAGTAAATTTGATTTTAAACATTTTACTCACCGATACGTATAAAAAACTCAAAAGCTTGAAAAAATGACACTTTTTTTCATCGGATTTGCTTGGGAATGCCACTTAAAGAATCATCTGAATGAACTAAAACTGTAAACTTTAGTTTTTAAATCTATCAAGAAACTTTTGAAAAAAGCGAAGCAGATGTAGATGTTTCTTCTCAAGTTTAGATAGGAAATATTTTCAATACTTTAAATGATAAAATTATACTATTCAAAGGTTTATTTTTGATTTAATTAATTTGATTTACAGATATTTAATTATCACTTTATGAAATTTATTTAAAAGATTTATATAAGACCTCATAACTCAGGTAGTTCAGTTTCTAAGTGCTGGTAAAAGTAAACAAATTAAGATTTTATTAATTGTTATTTTGCTATCACTTAAAAAATTATGTGGTGCTGGCACATTCAGGTTTGCCTTTATTAATAATGCTTGAAGTAAAAAAAAACTGTTCACTGAATGTTCTTCAACTATTTTAATTTTGGACTGAGAAAAGCTACATCTAAATTTGGCCAGGATAAATTTACAAGTATTTAGTATGGTGAATAGGTGAGGATCTCGTGTCATTAACTTAGGAATAGGCATTCACTTGAATGAAAAATTATTCTAAGGCATCGAGATGAACTAATGCGACATGGGTGGAAAGAGTTCTAGCGTTATAGAATTTAAATTTATGCTCAAGGCTCCACAAATGAGCAGCAATAGTTTGGCGTTTTGAAGCTTAACCCCTTGGGGACGGGTGATTCAGAAAAGCATTCGTACAAAATCAGAATCAAGTTGTAATTAAATAAAAAACGGTAAGTTAAATGTAGTCGTTGCTAATTTAAAATATTTACTTTGCTTTTACTTTAATTATTGTTAGTTTAATCATATATATAATCAATGTTAATTCAAAGTATAACTAAATAGTTTTATTTTGAGTAAAGTAATGGTGAATTAAATAAATCAAACAATTATAACTCCGCCCACAAATGAACTCTTAAAGAAATACTTTGATTACCAGTTTTATCTTTTTACCCTGATTGATACGATTTTATGCTGTCACGTATTTGTGACAGTCGGCACGAAAGGGTTAATGTATGCCAAAGACTCCAAAAACGTGGAGAAATAATTTGGCTTTTCAAAGTTCAATGTATGCCCTAGGTTCCAGATATATGCAGCAATATTTTGACTTTTTCAAGGTTTAACGTAAGCCTAAGGTTTCAACAAATATGGAACAATAGCATTATTTTGGTGTTGAATGGCAACAGTCTGAACAAAATGGTTTTAGCGCCACGCTACGGAAAAAGGCTTAATTAAAGGCTTAGATTGATGAATTTATCGTCTTTTATTAAGTTTAATTGAATTTTTGAAGTTCTTTATAATAGTTTGGTCATTCGTTTTATTTAAGTTCTATAAAATACTTAGATGTTAATTCGTTAAAGTCGTTTGTTAATGAAGACAGAAATACACTTTGCTAAGTAAATTACGATTTATTTAAAATATTTTAATTTCTCATCGTTTTCCTTGTTCTTATATCAGTTACAATGTTGAATGTAATACGTATTAACATAGAAATGCTTTACTAATCCTTTTAAACTAATGAAAGAATAAATATGGAAAAGTGTTATTAATGTAGATTTTTTTCTTTTTCTGTTTATTGTAGAATATGGAGGAAAAGAAATAGACGAAAATAAATAAAAATACAATAAGAAATTCTTTTTCACATTATAGAACTAAAATGTAGAATAAAAGATTTGGAGCGGATTAGAAAAAGTTTTATTTCCACATAAATGCACAATATCAAAATATTAAAAAAAAAATAAACTAGCATAAATTTATGCAATCCTATCTTAATTCAATAATTTGATTGAAATAAAGTATAAAAACTCAACTTTAAAGCAATAGGTCACAAAGAATTATCATTCATTCATGCGATAAATATAATCATACAGAAGTAAATGAAAAAAAAAAGATAAAAAGATACCACATTATATACCGTAGAGTGTCAACTATGCACATCAACTGAATCAACTAACATTTTCCGTTAAGTATTGCTAGAGGGTGATGTATGTAGTTGATGATGTCAGAGTATCCTCCTTAAGTATTGAAGTTCATTTACATAGGTGACAGAAAGCAACATCAATACTTAATGAAGTTCCGTAAAAAATCAATCAATGCATTATCTAAGGGGCAGAAATTCTGCAGATGCAAGCCACAGTTAGCGATGTTATTATATAAGGATTAATAAAATAATTTCTCAAGTTCAATGGGAAATATTCACCTAGTATCCTAAAAAAGAAACAAATCAAATCAGAAGTGTTTCAGTCTTCCTTTTACGTCAAAGCAGGACGTTATGGCAGCTCAGATTAGTGTAAATTAATTCTCGTTTCATCCAGAGGAAGTTATAAATGCCTCTTATCGTGCTGCTATCTGCTAATAATATAGAGAACCCCCGTCAGGAATAAGGTGAATATGATAAATAATCTAGAGTCTTATTCAGTTCTTGCAACGTGCCAGCGCGCTGCACGAGTTTTCCTTACGAAGATGTCATTGCTCACAATGTTGTAATTGGCACTTTCGAATTCTATGATTTTAAGTTTGGGCCAGATATAACATAAACAGAATCCACTGATCCTCTTCGTAAGATATTAAGGACTTCAACAGGATCAATGCTGCCTGCTCTCGGAACAATGAACGAGGATCGTCGGGAAGTGTCTATATCTTCAGTTTTAGATTCCTTCACACTGAAAAAAAAACGTGAAACATTAGTTACAACAAGAAACGTGAAAATTAAGATGCATATTACCTGCATGTTATTTTCGTATTGTATATTAATTAACCTGTTAGTTAATGTCTGTCGTTGTAATTACAGAGCCGATAATTTTACTCTCAACCCCTCAAGCTAATTTGACTCTTTCTCATCGTAATCCTAATCACTGCTCTGTCTTCAGAAGTGAATTGATTGCAATAGACCTGGGACTAGAAGCTATTCTATCCGAAGAGGATTATGGTGACCTATGGATCTTGTCTGATAGCCGTAATTCTCTCCACCATCTTAGTAATTGGCCTCTTGTGGGCGACAGGATCAGCACTTCTATCCTGCTTAAATTAAAGCTCATTTCACTTAATCATGATGTTCATTTGCAATGGGTACCTTTCCATGTGAATCTCCACGGGAATGAAATGGCCGATATTCTTGCTAAGGAGGGGTGCAGGATTACAACTCCCCCTTCCACACTTACTTTTTTTGGAGTTATATTCTCTAGAGAAATCAAAAATCTCGGATCAGTGGAAAACACCCCCAACCCATAATTGGTACAAGGTATCAAAATCGGGTTTGTCCCTTGCCCTCCCGTGTGACAGGCTTACCCGGACTGTTCTGACAAGGCTTGCCAGCGGTCACATCAAGTGCCTCACTTTCAACGAGGGCAGGAAAACCTTCGTCACCTGCACCAAGTGCCAAATTCATCATGCTTCTCCTGAGCACCTCTTGGATTGCATGGGACTCTCCAAGGAGGATCTCTTTAGCAAACCTCTCCTAGTCTTCGACTTCCTTTCAGTCAACGAACTCGTGAATCTTGTCTAACTCCGTCAGACAGTGAGGATAAGCAACGACAACAACAATAACAGGGTGAACGAATCTCAACAAGCTTAATGTAATGATTTAGTGTTTGTGATGAGATCAGGAATAATTTAAAGTTCTGACTTCTAAAAAATAAAACACACTAGGTTTTATTCGGGATGATATATAAATTTGTTAAAATACATTTTAAACCAGACAAAGAATCGAGGGAAGATACTTTCAGGTATATTTCAAAGATTCCGCACTCTATGTTTAAACAAATCTGGAAAAGAATCAGTTATACATCAGTTGTGTTTTTCGAGAAACAGCCGTTTCCTTGAAAATGGTAGGATTCATAAATTTTTTAAAAATTCTTTTGGAGACAACTTCTTTAGTTAATTGTGTGCGAACTCTTAAGAGTTCGAATTCCTTAAGAATCTTCATTATTTTGTAGCTTATGGAATGTGCTTTAAATCTTGTCTTAAAAATAAAATTTATTTATAAATTTGACAGTTTTTTTAACTGTCTATGAACTGCCGTTCTATATTAGATTTGTTTACAGCCAGAGTTCAATTTAATAGTCATCTAAATTTGAACCCAACTCAAAAGACAAGATAACTCTTATAGCACATATCGGGAGGAACAATCCTTCGTGGAAGACATTTTGAGGGAAATAACCTGCTGTGTTTGTAGTGAGATAAAACGCGCCACCTACGCTGCGTTTGTGGTTTGATTAAAAACGCCATTTTCATTGTGTATCCTAAGTTTTGTTGACCTAGAATGGCAACATAAATAAGAAAAGGAATAACCCAGAATCCGTTTATCACTGGGGATATTTTATGCGAGCCATCTTGATTTTAAAATTCAACTTTCTAGAAACAATTAGCAGTACTTACATTCCACAAGAGAAGAATTTCTGATTTGAGATATAGTTTTCCACATCTGCAACAGTTTGAGGCAGCCTTTGGTTCAACGTTTCTGGTAAAAATAGAGTCAAGAATCCTCCAAGGAAAGCGATTATGGCAAAACAAATGAATGGTACATGAAATCCATACTTAGACTGAAAATAAATATTAGTTTTAATACCAGAGACAGGTATTGAGGGATTTATTGGAAGAAAAAACATTCGTGAGATTTTGCACCACACAATTTATCTCTCTACTTATTTAATTTATTATGTATTATTCATTTTAGCACTTTTACTTTTGTTTTTATTTTAGTTTCGATTTGAGCCATTAAATTGCTTATTTGTTCATTGTAATTTAATGATTTTGATGCCACGAAGCCTTTCTAGAACCTTCTAACTGTAAACGAAACAGAATTTCCATTATGAAATGTTCTGGTTATTCCTTATTTTAGAACTTACTAAATTTCCACTATGATATAGAGTTACGCAAACTGGACAAGAAAAGAAATAAGATAATAACATCTTTAACAAGATAAATCAATTGAAGATTATGTTATTATTTTGAGATTTGAAAACGATGTAATATTTATTATTTAGGTTCGATTTTATATGAAAATGTTTAGTGAACTAAAGAATTTTAATTTGAAATTTTTAATTTATATAATTTTCAATTTATAAAATTGAGTACTGGAACTGAAAAAAAAAGATAAAATGAATTCATATAAAAATTATGATAATTTTTTTTTTGCTGATTTGCTTTGGAAAATAAAAAGAAAATATTCACTTGCCTCTCAGAACAATTTTTAACAAGATTTCATAACTTCTTTTTTAAATTTGTGTTTTGAGTGACGCTTCAACATTAATGCCAACTTACACTCTATTTGCTGACGCATTAACGCAAATTTAAGTCTTTTTCCTTCCTACAATATTTATGCTTTATAGTGCAGTGATTCTCAACCTTTTTTTCATGGCGGCACACTTTTAACGATTTCGAAATTTGACGGCACACAATGAAAACAAATTAGTTTAAAAGTTGTTTACTTACCTATAATACGCTGTGTTAAATAGTTTCTGATAATAATTTTGAATGTAAAATAAAATAATATGTACTACAAAAGCACGTTTATTAAGGGATTAATTATTTCTCTCGACTAATTTTTTATTAGTAACAGTTATTTTTTTCTCTTTTGCTAGTTATTAATTGTTAGCTTGTTTTCTATAGTTATTTACTGTTAGTTTTTATACATTGTTATTTTTTTGTAATTTCTTGCAAACCAGTTTTTTTGCTAATTATTAATTATTAGTTTATTTTTTGCTCGTTATCCTTTGTTAATTTGCTTTCATAACTATTAATTGCATAGCTTACTTTAATGATTAGCTTTTATTTCCGTTTGAAAGTCAATATTTAGCTTTCTTTTTTTTTGTTAATAATTAATTTTAATAGTCATTAAATTTTCCACTTATTTCAACATTCTTTAAAATTGCCGAAGACAATTTAAACGCTTCCTTCTTATTTTAACTTATTTTAAGATTGTGTCAGAGACAAGACACTCGCCGACAAAGATGTTCACNGTGTGTGTGTGTGTGTGTGTGTGTGTGTGTGTGTGTGTGTGTGTGTGTGTGTGTGTGTGTGTGTGTGTGTGTGTGTGTGTGTGTGTGTGTGTGTGTGTGTGTGTGTGTGTGTGTGTGTGTGTGTGTGTAATAAGAAAAGAATTATAATTTTTATTGCATCATTTCTAATATTTGGCGGCACAGTGGTTGAGAATCACTGCCTTTGTGTTTCATTATTGATAAAACAAATTTGATTATACGTAATCTTTAAAAATAGAGGTTTTAAGGAAAAGCAGATTAAACATTTGAAATCATCACTGTATATATTTTAAAAATATAATGCAAAACCCACAGATTACTGTGTGTGTGTTTGATTATGTAATGTTTTGTAAACGCATATCGTGACGATTTTGATTATTTATGATGCTACTAAGTCAATAAGAATTGAATGAACTAAGAAATAAAGATGATTCCTCACCAAATATGCAACGTAAGGAGCGGCAAAGACGGATCCGGATCCTATAGTAGAACATAGTCCCATTCCTACAGCTCTCAATGAGGTCGGGAAAAGTTCTGGAGCATGTTGGTATATCACTTGATATGATACGGAACTTCCGGCTTTGGCAAGAAGAGCAGCTATGACGCCAGCTCTGACGAAGTCTGAAAGATGTAACTCCATTAAACTTACAATGCACGCATTTCCCCAAACAATTCATACAATTTCTTTTTACACGCTTAAAAAATATTCATAATTCAAATGAATCATGAATTTCGTAACAGAGAAGAAGACAACTTTCAAGTATCAAACTCCTCTCATGCGTTCTGCTTTTAACAATAAATGTCGATAAGATGCTATTTTGTGCAAAAAAGACGATGGTCCATTAGTTTATAAATAATTTTTTGTCCCTATCTCCTACATAATGAATTTCTGAAATAGAATTGATAATTCTTCCATTTCCCTTCAGATTGTGCTATAGATGGTTTCATTAAAAACAGCTTAGCCATTTTACTATACCTAAACCCATATGCAACTGAAGCACGCTTTTTGATTTATTCGAAACTGTTCAATACTTCATTCAACAAACTTGAATGAAAATTAAAAGGTTCAAACAAATAGCTATTTATTTCTGATGCTAAGAAAAAAAGTACTCTCTCCACTTTAACTCTCGACTCCCTAAAAGAAAAAAAAAATCTAAGCTCTATATAGCGTTAAAAAGTAAAACAAAATAGCAAATAATAAAAAAGAAAAAGCTTTATAAATCGATTAAAAACATTAAAAAATAAATAAATAAAAACTCTAATCAATAACTAACTCTAATAAACTCTATCAAAATAAACTCTAATCAAAACTCTAATAAATAAAACTATAAATCTAAATGACAGTTAAGCTTATTACCACATCATGGCGTTGTATGTGTTTTGTCGGAAATGATGCCACTTTTTGCCACGCTTTGAAGAAATAAATGTGTGACTTTATTACACGCGCTGGCATTAGAGTGGTTGCTCTTTAAAAAATCCTTTGTGATATTTATCAAGACAATATAATACACATCAGTGATTATCATCTTTGTTGTTGTTGTCCTATGCCATTAAGGTGCGATTGTTCTTGTTTTCCAGTGGCGCCATCTATTGCCAAGAATTCGATTTGGGCCATGCCCATACGTCACGCTCGTTTATGGGGTGGACCCATTCATACATCCATTAATTCATCAACAGATCGTAATTTTGATCTGAACCAGAGAACGATCAATCTCTAATACAGTACCCCCAGAAGTATTGATTTGCTATGGGAACATGGAGGACTTTATGACCTGACATATTTAACGTGCACCAACCACCATTACCCCTGCCTATTATCATCTTTGATAAGGATACATGTGACTTACTTGGCGGGACAATGATGGGAATTATGCAGGCTATTGTGGAGAGAAAATAGCCAGCTACAGCACTCCATCTCCTTCCTATGCTTTCCATCATAATCCATGCTACTATACTGGCCGGAACCTCAACGGCTGAGAGGTAGAAAAAGTTCAGAAATTCATTCCCTTCCAAATTCCTGGAATTCACTTGATGCCCGTAATAGGGCATGTTCGCACAAACCCTAAAATGTTCAGGAATTAGTTTCAAGTTAGAAAATATTATAGAGTTGTATGAAAAGTAAATTATCGCACAGCAGAATGCTTTTATCTAATCCAGCTTTGTTTGGCAATGGCATGATATATATATTGAAAATGAAACATGAATTAGTATACTTAGTATACATATTGTAATCAAATTGAAAAGTCTGGTTCTTCGCAAATAGCATCGGCATTTGGCAATGAGCCAATTATTAATGAAATTAATTGAAAAAGTCTTAAGTATTTTTTAAACTGATAATTTTAGGCTTATTACAAACATCCTATGCGCTTTTATACAAATTAATTAAGTTGGGAAAAATTATCCGCTTAAATTGGATGAACTTATTTCAACAAACCTTTATCAAGTTTTCTTCCACACTAATGTTTGCAAACATTGCAACACCATGAAGGAATTAACAGTCTCCTGAGCAGTACCGGAATAATTTATGCCCTGTATTGTGATACAAATAGACATGCACAACCACTTTGTAATTCTAATCAGTATGATATCTTACTTAAATTAAAATTTCGTGTTAGTTTGGTTCAATTTTCATAATGCTTTCACGGGTATTGCAATTCTCACAAACGTGAGTATGAAATGAGGTTATTGACAACTGCCTGAAATAAATCAGTTTCATTAAGCGATGAGTACATTTTCCAAATAGGAAGAGATATATTTTTAAAAGATTTATGGGCTCTCTGCAATAAACCTGAAAGTTTCAGCTTGATTAAAAGATGTTGGAGATTTCTTCAGTTTGCCCGGCGCATTGGTGGCAGCTATTTACAAAGTGCAGGGATATTCAATCAAGTCTGAAATATACATGTATTTGAATAGCAACGTACGTTTCACACAACTATGAATTTCTAAAAAAATTCTAATTTAAGAAATATTATTGTAATACACTATTAACACTAAGGAATAATTTTTTTTTCGCTGCATGAACTCTATAATAAGCTACAGTCATTATGCAATTTAATAATACATTCCTAACAAGCATTTTTTAAAAATCCTTCGAGTACACACTGTCTTCACTTCTTTCCTACGTAGGGAGTTGCAGAAGGCGATAATTCATTTCAAATTATGATGCGATACGATGTTATTCATAGTTTATTCATATGTTTAGATAACAGTTTATTCATATGTTTAGATATGAAGATCATATGTTTATTGTCTTAAGTATTTTTTTCAAATTTAGCAACATATATACATACATACATACAAGTATATATGTATGTATAAAGACCTATAAGTTCTTCATAAAAATCGGTTGAATAGTTTCTGAGAAAAATATGGTTTTTGAAAATTTGATTTCTTGGAAACTATGCAACTGATTTCACTCAAATTTTGTATTTTGTCATTAATTATATCGAAATTATATTCTTTAAAACGATATAAAGAATTTATGCCTTAAAATTCAAATTTTTTTCGACTATTATCAAATAAAATAATAAAAAATACGTAAATATTTACTAAAAATTATTTTTTCACATGGGCAAATGAATAGATTGACAAATGGATAAATGATTAGATTGACAAATGGACAAATGAACAATTGAATCTTTGGATAAATGAATTTTACAATTGTGATAAAAATTCTTCCATTCGCTTAAAAAGTTCGCGAAATATGGCGAAATGAGCTAAAAAGAGCTTTAAGGTGCCCAAACTCTCTTGACCTAGCTATGTGGACCATGTTTCCCAGATTACAGCTACCCCCTATATTTTGAGAGTTTGAAATCCGAATCAGTTGAAAAAAAAGTACGCGTATTAAAAAAAAGTACGTTTTAGTATCTGATTTTGTAATTTAAAAAATACCACTGATTAATTAGCATATTTGATGTCACCTCCTCAAACTGTTAAAACTGAGTCTGATAACATTTATGTGATTGACGTGAAGATCTGATTATTAGATCAAAAGTTATTCAGGAGGGTCCGGTTTTTTTGGTCACATTGCTCATAAGAATAAAATTAATAAAAGTCATAAAGGTATCGTCTTCTTATGAAAGATTATTGATCCTAATTTAAAGATGTTTACTTGCAATATTTATTTTTCGTCTTTTACTCTGAAATGATTACATTTTTGATTTTGATTGCTTTCTAAGTTAAGAGTTTAAAACTAAAAGATTTGGTTATTTTTTATAATGAAATTCTATGCTGTTACCTTAATACGCTCTATTTTAAGCTAAACTTTTTTAAACCGGTGTCCAAATTTATTGACTGTTTTACAATTATTTTATTTCGGCTCGAATTAAATTAATATGCATAATTCAAATTGCAGTTAAAGAGATTAGATCAGCTTCAAGCAGAAAGAGATGCTAGCACAATTTTTTTTAATATATCAGCTTGTTTGGTAAACGAAAATATTAAATTACGAGCAGTACTCAAATTTGTAATAATAATACAATTTTAATTTTAAATGTTTTCTTAAAAATGATTGCTAAGCAAAAACCTGTATGTTCACTAATTAAATAGAATATCGATCTGGAATATTAGAATAGATAATAGAATTATCAGGGAAATCTTTAATCGTAAGAAGTGCGGGCACCAAAGTAAGAAAATAATGGTTTCTTATTATACTATTAGCAAGTTGAATGCCATGGGGGTCACCGTTGACCGGCGAAGCCAAGATTATTAGAAACACATGATTCGAGTAAATTTTTAGTTTTTTTATATTATTATCGTTACTAAAATGGTTTGAAGAAGGTAATGCAACATAGAACACATAAAAATAGTTTTATTTATATACACAGAGAAGCCAACTTGCTCCGGACAGCGAATAAATATTTTCAAGTGGTAGCTTATTAATTATGATTTTTGGTTTAATAAATTCAATTTAGTAGATTTTAATCGACCACTACTTCTAAACAATTCGTAGGCTTATATAATTCACCACTTTCTTCAGTTACGTAATGCTAAACCTTTCAAAAAAATTGCAATATTTTCGAATATTTGCAAATTTAGTTTCTAGCTATTTAACGTTTGGCCAGGCGGGCAAACCATGTAAAATTAGCGCGGCATTCATTGTGTTAAGAACATAAAAGTACAAATGAATCATTAGTTTTGAACTTAAGGTGCTTGAATGAATGTTTTCGGTTGCTTAACTCTTTGGCTACTAACGGGACTCATTTGTTCCAACAAATGTTTAAAAATTACTAATTTGTCGAAAAGCACTTAAAAACTCATTGTAATATATCCCAGTCGTAGACATGGGTGAAAGCCCTTATATAGCAAGACGGAAAAGAGAAAAGCCTGGTACGTAAAACATTTCATTCCAGCATTTTTTTCGAAAAAAATGAAATTTCTGTAACTATCAAGATTTCTTTTATAATTCTGGCATATATATAAAACTGCTTCTTTTCCAAGATAAAGTAGATATTGTTGAAAAATTTAAAAAAAGAATAAGTAAACTCCTCCCTAAAACTAGCTATAACTGAAATGGTTTTACTACCAGCCTTTCCTCTTTTCCGTCTCGCTTTCACCCCTGGTCGTAGAGTCGAACCAAGTATACGTGTTTCATGTATCAAATATCCCCTAGATAGCGCAAAAGAGTTTCTTGCATGAAATAGCATTGTGATTTTGCGCTCGGACAAATATATCCCACTAGTATTCATTGGGATTGTTATGTTCATTCATATTTTATTCATATTTTCTCAAATGAGCATAGAAAAAAAACAAAAACAAATTTATTACAACAACCCGACATTACAACCGTTGTCCAGTGTGTAACGTCGGGTTATGCAAAGATTGCTTCACCCTGTATCATACCATGTAAAAAAAAAGTCCATACAATAAATTTTTCCGGAATGTTAGATGTGCTTGTAGTAAGTCGATCACTACAGGTGGGGCATATGTATCCCACCATTAAGTACGACCGGGACATATATGTCCCAACCTCTAAATTGATAACCGCTTGTCAGAAAAATCCCAAATACTACATTTGCCTTATTTATGACCTATTTTGTCCTTTTGAATAATAAACGGGACAAAAAAAGTCATTTTTTAAAATTCGTAGCCAAAGGGTTAAGTGAATAATTTCAATTTTCGTAGAAAAAACTGTTTTATGCCAAGAAGCAACAATTAGTGCGAGTCAGTCATCGGGGTCGGTGAGTGGCAACGAACAGGGGGCTTAGACCTCTAGTAATTAATAATAACCTTGATTGCTCATTAGTCGGGCACCGTTAAGGAGGACACAAAATGATAATTTCATTCTAATGATTAAGGTTAAAATTGCATTTATTTCCGTTTTTAAGGAAGAATAATTTTGAAGTCTTCATCTTAATGTTTTGCTTGATTTACTAATGCCATTCAAGGAATATTTCAGATCAAATTTAGACTTTTAAATGGCTTTCAAGATGTACTGGTTTTCAAATTAAGTATATGATGTAATATATTTAGAGTTTAGAAGGGTGACTATCTTTAGCAATATCGAAATAAATAATCTTATTTCAAATCGTTACAATTCAAAAGGTACATTAACAACTTTAAAGAGAGTTACTTTATGTGTTACAAATTAAACTCACCAGCATATAGTAACTAAGATGAATCGTTTTCTCAATTTAGAATTGAGAATATATTCTCTTGGTGAACTCTTCTTTTCATTTTCCTTCTCACTTTTCATTTCTGCTCCTAAGCTCTGCAAAAATTCATAAAGTTTTACTCATTAAAATACACACATTTGAGGAAAATCTACAATTTTATAATAAATTGGAAAAATAATGAAATTACTGTCAATATTGAAATAAAGAAGAAACAAAATTATTTTTTAGCAACTGAAAAATTATTTATTGACATTGATATTGATATGAAATTCACAAAATGTGACATATAGTGACCAGTTTCATATGAAATAGTGCCATAAAAGCAACTGACATGAATTATGAGAATGAATTAAGGAATAAATAACATTGATTTAGAGTTAAACACAATATATATTTACTTGGAAGAAAATAAATGTTGTGACGATTATGAACATAACCTCTTACTTTAAGTTTTGCTACAATTTCCTTAATTTTTATTTTGTATTGTGTGGACATTGTTCTATTATTTGATTGGTTACTCACAGTAAAAAGGGTTACACTCATTTCTACTTTTCAGAACTATAATTTATTTTCATAAATAAATTTCTAAAAAACAAAACTTAAATAAAATTTGTAATATTATATCTCAGTTGCAAATTATAATACCAATTTATACCAAATTTATTATTTTGTTTTGTATATAAATTAATTAGTTAACAAAAATGTAAAGTTTGATGTATACGTATTTTGTGACTTTAATATTTCCTTAATAAATGAATAAAATTATTATTTATTTAAAAATTGTTTATAATTGTTGTATAAATCTTTTGGCCACCAGTTGATGTAATTTAGATTGTTACTTCACTAATCTATTTTTTAACTCACGACTAACCCCAATACATAAAAAAAAATCGATCTGTTCGTTTAAACAAAGAAAGGACGTTGTGTTCGAGTTTATTAGGAAATTAATAGCTCTAATTAATCAATAACTCTTAGTGGTGATTTCGAATTATGAAGATTAAAGATTTCGTACGGTGCAGATTAGCAAGGAATGTTAAAATATTTCAATAACTCAAATACCAACTCAAAGTACTCAAAACAACCTGAAAATTTAAATTTATAAAGCAACCGTGAATAATAACATAATTTATTCTTATAATATTCTAATATAGATGTGTAAATCTTACTTGAATTTTCTCTAGGAGATGAAAACTATCAGGATTTTCTTTTCCGTTGAATTTGCTTATTTTAGACAAGATTTCGTATGCCTCTTGGTATTTTCCTTGTCCTATCAACCAACTTGGAGATTCATGAATAATTCTATAAAGTGAATTTCATACAGTTAATTTGAAATTGTAATTTTAATAATTAATAGCTATGGTAAAAAATTTATAATAGTCAATAACTAAACTTGAAACTTTTCCTTTTTTTTAAATTAAACTCTGGGATTCGAATGGAACAGTACCTGGATCATATGCATAAAATATTTTGAAGATGATTGCGGAACAATATACCAGGACAATGTACCAGATTTCTTCTGATTGTACTCCTGTTACATTTGGGTTGTACAGTATTTGTACCTTATTAGTGGAAAATATTTTGAATACGGCTGTGATTTGTACTTGGATTTGTAACATTTGTACTTGGGAATTTTTTTGTGCTTCTTTAGGGCAGCACATTATCTGTTTCATACGCATGAAATCTTTAGAAGACAGCTAGGATACAACATTTGTATCAGGAAATTTCTTCCCCTGCTAACTAAGTACACTCTCCTATGCTCAGTAATAAACAAATTGAAAAAAAAAAACCTTTTGACTAGAGCTAATAGATTTAAAAGGGTGATATAAAACTTAATTATTATGAAATGGTATACATTTTTAAATACATTGCCGGGTGAAAATAAAAGTGATAAAATAAAAGCAATGATAACTAACCGTAAGATTATTTTAAGGAAGCAAATGTATATTATTTATTATCAAATTATTTTATCTAAATAAACTGAAAAAAAGAAGAAAAAAACAGCTTTGCTATCACTTTTTTATGTATATTTTTTTAAAAAACTAGGTGTATTTTTCAGTGTTCTTAATATTCAAAAATGGTTCTTAAAATAAAATTAAATTTCGTAGTACTAGAACTTTATAAATCCAAAAGCGTCTTCGCTTCTAGTTCGCCCTTAATTCATATTTTCAGAACCAATTAATACTGGTAAAGTGAATAAAATTTAGTACTAATTATTTTTTAGAAACAATAAGTTTAAGGTAACCGCATAATGTCTTAATTAAAACGCCTTTAAAAATTTGAATTTCTATTTTTGCAAACTTTTGAAAATTATAAGGTAACTAATACTACTAATTATGAACTTAATTTAGCTTAAGTATGTTGCCATTTTTTGTATAATGTACTTTTTATATCAATACGGAAGGTGTAACTAGGCCTCTTCGGCAAATCATGGGTTAACATGCAACACCACAACAATTGTGAAGATCGAATTCAATAGATTTTTGAAGTGAACAAAGAAAATTCTATGAATAAAAATTTACAACAAACCCAAAACAAAATTAAAGAAAATTTATTGTTTATACAGTTTTGCTAAACAAAATATTTTTTTTCTTGCTTAAAATTTTTTTTGTAATACTCTTTTGCACGTTTTTTTGTAATAATTTTTTGCATTTCTGAAAGAAAAATGTACTTACTTCCAGTAAAGAAGCAGGCAAGCAGATGCTGTTGCGGTCATTGCACTAAGGTAGATCCAGTTTCTGGTAAGCCATGCCATTGCGGGCAAAATACACATTCCTATGGTCCAGGCAAAAGTTGATATGCCACTAATTTTTGCTCGATTTTCAGAACTAACAACTTCGAGGACTACAAAAAAAGCCACACAAGGAACGTTTTTAGGAATTTTTGAATAAACAGCATTCTACTCAGCTTATTATTAACATAAATTTGGGTATTTCTCTATCAACTGGCAACACTATAGTTATTTTACGTCATCTCTGTGCTGCCGGGTGCGAATTGAATTCATATCGACCTGCTATCTAGTGGATTCGAGCCCGAGTAACCTTCTTGGGATGGGAGCGCTCTATCCTCAGAGCCACTACGGCTCAATTCTAGTGTTTTGTATTATTTGTTGACATAATGTTGCCAGATTGGCAACACTGCACCAGAAAAGGTTAACAGTGTACTTTACGCGAAATCTATTGTGGCAGCTATCATTAAAAAACTTAAATGAGAGCTAAAATTATAAAGTTTTTGCTGCTCTTAATTCTTAAATACCACCATTGTTTCATGTGGAAAGAAAACTGTCACGGTGTACGCGTTATGGGTAGCAAAGGATGTTTTTCTCGTCTCGAAAGCTAGCTGAAACGAAAAATGCAATGAGTTTGTTTTCCTTTTTATGAGGAAGTAATTAAAAAAAAATCTGGGGGTAACAGGTCAATTAAAATTTTTGGCATGGCATAAACTTTACCAAACCTTATAACTTTACACTTCCCACCCGCCATTTCTTGAAGAGTGAGTAGTATCTATTAATTAAGTGAATAATTATGAGGGTTGATCTAATGAATAATTGACACGTCGGTTAGCGTCAGAAATATAGTTATGATAGTAGACTTTTAAGGACAGTTAGAGATAAGCTCTGCAGACTGTGTTTAATTGATTAACAAGGAACGTGTTAAGAAGTTAATCACAGCATGATAGCATTTAAAGTGAATGGTTAAATCTGACGAAGATAGATGCGTTCAGAACAAATCTTAGTCTAGTGCGGTTTTTTGTGATAAAATGTGATTTTATTTTTATTTACAGGGCAGCATAGAATGGCAGATTCGTAATTCGCGATCGCAACGAACTATAGGGGGCGTTGTTGTATGAGACGCATACCTGCGATTTCTATATGAACCGTCATTCAGTTACTCTGGAGACGTCGTTAATGTAGCGTGTAGCATTGCAACGTTCCTTCTTTAATGTGGCTTATTAAATTTAAAAAAGAAAAANAAATGATTTAGTTTTACTTTGAACTAACATTGATTATATATATGATTAAACTAACAATAATTAAAGTAAAAGCAAAGTAAGTCTGTCAAATTAGCAACGCCAACATTTAAACTACCGTTTTTTATTTATTTATATCCTGATTCTGATTTTATACGAATGCTTTTATGAATCACCCGTCCCCAAGGGGTTAACTAAGTGAATAAGTATAAGAGTGATTTGTATCTATTTACAAATTGAATATCTCTATGGGTGAGTTGTATCTATTAACTAATATAAGTATAAGAATGAGTAGTATCTATTAAGTAAGTGAATAAGTATAAGGGTGAGTTGTATCTATTAACTAAGTGAATAATTATGAGGGTTGTTCTAATGAATAATTGACACGTCGGTTAGCGTCAGAAATATAGTTATGATAGTAGACTTTTAAGGACAGTTAGAGATAAGCTCTGCAGACTGTGTTTAATTGATTAACAAAGAACGTGTTAAGAAGTTAATCACAGCATGATAGCATTTAAAGTGAATGTTAAATCTAACGAAGATGGATGCGTTCAGAGCAAATCTTAGTCTAGTGCTGTTTTTTGTGATAAAATGTGATTTTATTTTTATTCACAGGGCAGCACAGAATGCCCGATTCGTAATTCTTCAATGAAAACTAATCATTTTCGATTCTACAGAACTATATTTATGGAAGATCACGGTGTGCCCTGGGTCTTAGCAAAACTGATATCCATGTAAACTGTTCTCAAAAAAACTTAACACCATTTGTTCACAGTTGCTTGTTCAAAGCAGTGTTTGCGCAATAAATAACATAAATAGCTACCGTTCGATGAAAATGACCACAGTACGTTCACCTTCTGCCTCAAAATGCGTATTATTACGTCGTGGATTAATGAATATTTAAATTTCATTCCCTCTATCCCAAATTAGTTGCTATATTTAGGTCTAACATTTTGTCCCATATTACTTGCTATATTTAAAGTAGGTGGAGTAATTTATATTTCAAGTATCATTACGTATTTCAAGTTGCTTAACTTCTGATGCTGTTTAGTAGATCAACACCAATAACACAACAATACTAATGAATTCATGATTCATTAGCTAGAAGATAGTTTCATGCGACTTCTGATGGAGGAGTTCGTACAAAATTGGGCATGGCTAAACAGTGTGCGAACCCTGGATTTTTGAAATTAATTTGGTACTGATTTTAAGACGGGAATTCATGGTAAGTAAATGTTGTTGACTGATAGCGTAGTACCCTGAAATCGTGAAAAAAGTTCAAAGAAAATTATAAAATCATTAGGATAAATAACCAGGGCAAAAGTTTTCAAATGTAGCATGTAGTTTGGGAAAAAGGGAGTATTTAAACACTTTTAACACGTTGAATGCCATGGGGGTCACCGGTGACCGGCACTGAGTTTGCTCGTGGCTCCACGGGGGTCACCAGAGACCGATACTGAGTTTGTTCGTAGCGTCACGGGGGTCACCGGTGAAGCCAAGATTATTATAAACACATAATTCGAGTAAATTTTAAATTTTTTTATATTATTATCGTTGCTAAAATGGTTTGAAGAAATTAATGCAATATAGAACATACAAAGGTAGTTTTATTTATATACAGAGAGATCCCAACTTNGCATTCGTACAAAATCAGAATCAGGATGTAATTAAATAAAAAACGGTAACTTAAATGTAGTCGTTTCTAATTTGACAGACTTACTTTGCTTTTATCTTAATTATTGTTAGTTTAATCATACATATAATCAATGTTAATTCAAAGTATAACTAAATAGTTTTATTTTGAACAAAGTAACGGTGAATAAAATAAATCAAACAATCATAACTCCGCCCACAAATAAACTGTGCTAAAGAATTACTTTGATTACCAGCTTTATCTTTTTACCCTGGTTGATACGATTTCATGCTGTCACGTATTTGTGACAGTCGGCGCGAAAGGGTTAATTGTGATTCTTGGTTTAATAAATACAATTCAGTAGATTTTTATCCGCCACTATTTCTAAAGAATTCGTAGGTATATATAATTCACCACGTTATTTACATATATGTCATGCTAAACCTTTTAAGAAACGAGCAAAATCTGTCTAATATTAGCAAATTAAGTTTGTAGTTATTTACCGTTTGGCCAGACGGGCAAGCCATGTAAAATTAGCGTGGTATTCAACGTGTTAACTCTCATGTGAACTAGTAACGCAATCAAACTAATTAGTAATATAACTAGTAACGTAATCTAGATGCAAGCAATCCGTGGAGCACTCTTCTGATTTCAATTCATAGCTCTGAAAAGTTGTGCTGCTTTTGTTTTTAACCCTTTGCATTCGAGGTTCTTTAACCCCTTGGGGACGGGTGATTCAGAAAAGCATTCGTACAAAATCAGAATCAAGTTGTAATTAAATAAAAAAACGGTAACTTAAATGTAGTCGTTGCTAATTTGACAGACTTACTTTGTTTTTGCTTTAATTATTGTTAGCTTAATCATATATATATTCAATGTTAATTCAAAGTATAACTAAATAGTTTTATCTTGACCAAAGTAATGGTGAATGAAATAAATCAAACAATTATAACTCCGCCCACAAATAAACTGCTAAAGAAATACTTTGATTACCAGTTTTATATTTTTACCGTGATTGATACGGTTTTATGGTCTCACGTATTTGTGACAGCCTGGCGAAAGGGTTAAACGATGAAAAAGCGGATGCAAGCACTTAAAATTTAGAAGAATGTACTCAATATATACACACTTATTGTACAAACTTTGATGGCTACTAAATAAAGTGGTAAACATGTAAAAATCGTAACACTTGGAGTGGTAGGAATTTTACAGGTAGTAATAGTGATTGATAGAGGCACTTCTCGAGTGCAAAGACTATATTTTTTCGAGCGCTATCATGCGTGACCATTTTTCCTTCAGACAACTTTTATGTAAATAAAGAAAACTTTGCTTACGTAGTATAAAAACTATGGTATAAATCGAAGTAAAGAAGCATCCATTGAGAGTTCGGAGGAAAAGAAACATCCAAAAATAAGGACTCAGCACAGAACTTATTTCAGTGACGGCAATCATGAAGGCAAATATCATTAAAGCTGGCTTTCTGCCGATCCTTGAAAAGAAAAACAAATGTATAATGTTAAACTAATTTATTAAACCAATTAATATTTTTTGATTAAGTAATTGATTTAAGATTTTTGTTAAGAAATATTTAAAGGAGTTATAAGGATTGTGGATTTTTTTTTCACATTATAACAGACTTTTTTAGCCAAAACTATTGTCAGAAATTGCAAAAATAAGAATCGTGGTCATCAAATGCATGGTTAAGATGAGATCTGATTTATTTAATGTAATTTTCGTTAAAATTCAAAGTGGTTGATAAAAAACTGCGCAGCTTAAGAGAAAAAAACTGTACTTTCTTAGTGATTCATATTATTGTAAAAAATAAATAGAGTCTTTTGAGTTATATTACTGTTTAATATAAGCAGGGTGTTTTCAGTTTCATCATTGTTAAAAATGAGCAGGGTAAATTTTTTTTTAAATAGCGTATGCAATTTCTATCTATACGGCGTTAACATTCCCCTTAAAAGCATTAACATTCGTTTGTTTGCTCGGAATTTTCTTTTAATATCAAAACTGCATCACGAAGATTCCGTTGACTAATTTGGGTATTTTCCAGTGTTACCTACTATTTTAGTTATTTAACACTAGATTGCCTAAGGAAGTCATTTTGACTGCTTTTAATTTCAATTAGAAAAACAATGATGTACATAATGGCACAATTTCTTAAAATTTTGTACAACATATAATTTTTTTTATTGTGAATATTTGCTAAAAACTTATTATATAACTGCAAATAATATAAAAAATATTAAAAATTAATTTTTAACAAATTTCTTTACACATTATTTATTCTTTTACAATCCAGTCATTTTGACTGCTTTTGGGGCAATATAGGTATATACAAAGTTTCAGTCTTTCTAGTGTTAATAAATCGTAGTCATATAACTGGAAACCGACAAAAAATTATTTCTGACATTAATATCTATCTATATTATATAAAACGCTAATACGTACGTATGTATGTATGTATCAATAAAACCGATGATATTTCTTTTCTCGCGCTGGCAACAGTTTTCATTTTTAATTGATTGGATTCGGCGCGCAAGAGCACGTAGGGAGCAACCAGATAACAATAACCAGAGTGAGCATTATCAGGTTGTTCAATTCAGATTCATGCACTAAAAACATGACAATATTTAATTTAAACTCAATTAGGAATTAATTAATTAATTGAAGTGAGAATGCTTTAAAAGGCCGCTGTTGAATTGATATTTTTCTACTGGGAGCTACCTAAACGTCTAAAAAACGTTTAAGTGTTTGTATTGAATGCATTGAATTTTTTTATATTTCGCGTTTATTTATGCATTGAATTTTCACGCTTTAAAATGCAGAATATTAGTGAAGCAATATTTGATAATTTATTTTGCTAATATGTTTCTTATTTAGCTAATGTTTTGATTTTTTCACCATGTACAATCTAAATAGCTAATATACTTTTTTAAAAGCCAATAAGAACATTGGTAGAATTCATCTACATAAGTACAATACTATGTCTTTGATAAAATACTATGTCTTTGATGATAAAATACTATGTCTTTGATGATAATATATTATGTCTTTGTGCTAGAACATTGTGTTCATTGGCGAGCGAGAGCAGCGAGCCATGGTTCACGGCGTGAACCACATAGGATTGCGTAACAATTCTAGGGGGTTGGCGAGCGTTAGCGAGCAGGGGGCGGAGCCTCCTAGTACTATTATAATATACGCGGATATCTCCGTTTCTTGACATACATTTTCAAAATTAAATAACTTAATTGCTAGGCCTTTTTATTTGAAAAAAAAATGGACATGTTGTCTTTTGACAACATGTCCATTTTGGTTAACCATGGTGACTTAACCATGACATACCTTTTGGTTAACCATGGTGACTATCTAGCTAATGCTCACCAGATTGTTTGCAAGCGAAAGTTAATTGGTGAACTCCACGATTACTTAACCTTTCTCCTTTGTTACTCTTATTGTATTTTTTTGCTCACTAACAATATTTAGTTGATTACAATCGATGAATACGAGACAGGCTTTGGGATGAAATCGTGAAACTCTGTATCTTACTTCAGCGCTTGTTAAGTAAAACGTACCGCTAATACAAATAATCAAATTAAGTTTTGCATTTAATATTTTTATTTTATGAGCAATATATTTACAACGATGCTTTGTGTACATTGTTTCACTAATTTTTTGCAGTTTAAAAATGTAATTAATACTTTTTCAATGGATAAATTTTGGGAATGCGTCATCTGTAGGCTGTATAATAATTGCTAAAAGATAATACACCCACTATTTTCTCCATAGATGTTTTGATTTAATGATTTAAAATTAAAATACGAAAATTTCAAGAAATTAGGTTAAATCAACAAAATGAGTATGTCCGAATGGGCTTTTTTTGTGCCTATAGTAATCATACCTGTCTGATAGGAATCCACAGAGGGGCGTTCCAAGTGTGACGCCAACGAACGACAAACTGATGACAAGACTGCTGTAATAATCGTCCTCGCAGACCATTTCCCACTAGAAATACAGCCAACAACGAAATCTATTAGAGATTGTTTTCATTAAAAGTTGAAAGATAGAAAATTTTCGTTCGAAAGATTCATATAATTTTTAAGAGAGATTCTAATATGTTAGTTCTCTTTAAAATGGAACCTGTAAAGTAGAAAATGAGATCAAATGAGATCTTGTCATCATGATCTTGTTTGAGCCCGAAATTGAGTGAAATTATGCATTAGTTTTGCTGAAATTAAGTAAAAAGATCAATAGATAGGTTAGTTTTCCAGCATAAAAAGTTTGTGCCGAAATAATTAGTATAATGTGTGTAAAAATATTATATGATTACTATAATAAGTTTTTAGTATGATATTAACACAAAATTTCAAATTTACTACAATTTAGTACATTTAATAAAACAAAATGAATTAAAGATAAAGAGATGACTGGATCTAAATATGAAAAGCAATTATAATAATGTGTGTAAAATTTTTATATATGATTAAAATGATATGTTAATATATGAAAATGGCATAATATGATTAATATGATTTATTAATTTCCTTGAAATGAAGTAAAATAAGTGTTAGGTAAAAATCTATTATTATAGATAGATCAGTTTTCTTATATGGAAATTCGAAGCTTGAATAATTAGTAAAATATGAGTAAAACTGCTATACAAATATAATAAACTATTTATAATAAGAGAACAATAAGATATTAGTATAGCTTTTCATCAATTTCATTGAAATGAACTAAAATGAGCAAAAGATAATATTAATAGATTAAATTTTCTTTATGAGATGTTAAAGTTAAAACAATATAATGTTTGTTAAAATAATATAATGTTTGTAAAACTGTTATATGAGCAAAATGATATGTTTATAATATGACAATAACAATTCATTAATTAATACTACAAACGAAACAAAATGAATGATAGATGAAAGTATGCTTAGATCAAAAGCAATTAGTATAATGTGTATGAAATTTTTATATGATTATTATAATATGTTTGCAAATGAAAATGACATAATATGATTAATATAATTCATCAATTTATCTGAAATGAAGTAAATATAAGTGTTAGGTAAAAAGCTGTTATTATAAATAGATCAGTTTTCCTACATGAAAATTGAAAGCCTGAATAATTAATAAGATGTAAGTAACACTGTTACACAAATGTAATAACCTATTTATAATATGAGAATAACATAATATTGGTATAAACTATTCATCAATTTCATTGAAATAAAATTAAATAAGCAACAAGTAAAATTCAAATTCAATAAAATAAAATTCAAAAATACAAATAAATCCTGGTTGATTAAGTACTATATGACCAATAGTCATTAAAGAATTTTACCTAAGTTTTGAAATTCTCCTTTTTTATTAGAAATTAAAAATAACAAAACTTAAGATTAACTTACTCTAGTTACAGATGTTGCATCATAATTGGTTTTATCGAATTCCCAACCATTGTCACAGGCTTTGGTTGGCCAACTTGGATTTACTGTAAAATTTTCCGTTGATAAGATCTCCGCATAGTTGATATCATACATTGAACAAGAGGGATCATTTGGCGGACTCAGGAGATCTAGTTTAGCATCAGTGGGGAGATTTGAAGCGGCGACTTCTGGTACGAAGCACCAATGTTCAGGAGTACTAGAAAGGAAGATAGAATTCATGGAGAACCAAGGAATGACCAAACTGGCCGGGATGAGAAAAGTAATGGATAGAAACTTTTGATAAGGTCCATTGCCCCCAACGTCATTTAGAATATCTTCAAAAATCATATCTTCGGTTTAAATGGATCACAAATAGTCAGTAATTGACCTGAAAAAGCAATAAATTGCATGATAAATCAGACTAGAAGGAGGAGCAATTCGAGGCAAAAATCTAGAATTTCACTATTATTTTGAAACAATGAAATGCAGAATAAAAATTTGTCTTATATTTGTTTTGTTACTATTGTTTAAGCATTGTATGAAACGCCGGTACGCTAAACATAGCTATCCTATAAACACCAGCTATTTTACGGATACTAAAAAAGTATTCTATAAATTACTTTCTTTAGGCTTTTCAGAAAAAAGGAGATTATTATATACTTTAATCCATTAATTTCAATACTGCGATGATTTTTTAAGAAATGCATTTTCAAAAGAAGAGGTAAAACATGTGTTTGAATTGAGTGGATATTGTCGTCTGTCACCTACCATTTTAGATTTTAGAAAGGTATTGTAAAAAGCCTTCATATCTATATAATTATAAGCTAATTCATCAATTATGTCTTTCATTTTTCAAAAATCAATTATTGTGCATATCAAATCATGTATTATCTTTATTTTTAATTTAAGTCTACAATCAATATTTATAATGTTATGTAAAAACGTCAATCTGCCATATTGAATTTTTTCATTGTTTTATTATTTCCCAAGCAAACAGCTTGATTTTTTATGGCTACCACAATGTTTGCCAAATCAATGTATTTTACATTACTGTATGTAATTCAATGATGATTTGGATAGGGGCCGCTTCCCGGCTCAGGTGCCCAGTTTACTTAAATAAAGCAATCAAGTAAATTATATGCTAACAATGAAGCACTTGTACTATCACTTTTTTTCCTATTTAAAACTTTTAGCCCACTTTAAAACTTCATTATTCTTAGCCACTAATCTTTTGCAGAACATTCTGAGATGCCAACTTGCTCCGGACAGCGAATAAATATTTTCGAGTGGTAGTTTATTAATTATAATTCTTGGTTTAATAAATTTAATTTACTATGTTTCTATCTACCACTATTTCTAAATATTTCAAAGGCTTATATAAATCGCCACTTTACCAAGTACTTTCACTGCCTGCTTACCTCAATGCTCATTCAAAACAGCGTAAAAATTCCAGATAAATGAGATCAAAACAATAGGACTAGGCATGGCAGGCTATACTCTTTAAAAAGCAAGTAAAAATAGTCTAACATTTGCAAAGTTTAGTTTGTAGTTATTTACCGTTTTTTCTTATTCATTATTTTGGCGTGTCCGGAGCATCTGGCATCTCTGAACGGTCGTAAATTTTTGTCTGGAGCACATTAACATTTGTGACCTAAGACAACGCAATTTTGTCAAACATGCATGCTTTATCTCTCTATTGTTTAGCTAATAGCGGTAGCTAAATATTGGCAAACGCTTAGAAGCAAACAGTTTAATAATTTTATTGGTTTGTAGCATTTATAGATTAAGTGTTGCCGGTCTGACTGGTAACAATGCGCTGTAAAAAAAGTTAAAAAACTTGATGACAAGCTTCAATACTTTAGCTGGGTTCGTACGGACCTGAAAAAAAAATTTATAACTGGTATTAATTTTGTTGTAACAAAGCTGAAGTTTTTTTAATGTTAGCTTCTACTATCTAATTAAAGTATCATATTACAAACATAATAATATAAAAAAAATAATTTTAATATTACTACCACTTTTTAATTTTTTCCAGTTGTGAATGAACCCTGTTTAATAAATATTTTTGATCACAACTACGTATATTTTTTTAAAGGAAATATTTTCCGACAGAATCTGAATTTTCATGGATATGCATTTTTATTAATGGAAATTTCATCTAATTAATTAAATGAAACTGTTCCCGCTATTAAAATATTTCAAAATCCGTTAAAACCCCGCATAAAAGACATTGTTTACTTAAAATGAGTAGTATACATTCCATCAAAATTTCATTATTGAAAAATACGTTTTTTTCTTTTCATTATTTTAAAAAATATTTATTTCGTGAACTACGAAACTCAAATTTTATCAGTCTTATGTATTGTATAGTAGTACAAGTAGACCAACTGTGAAAGATCTTATAAAATGGTAGCATATTAAAAGTAAAAATTTGCAAACACTCGTGTGTTATTGCTAACGTTTTATTTATATATTTACCCCCGGAGATAGTGGGAACAAAGTAGCGTTTTGAATTGAGAATCACACATTAGAGCAATAATCTTTCTTGCCACTAGAAAAATTGTTCCCAACAAAGTGGAGCAAGATTCTATTACTAGTAGAATTTTAAAATATTAAAAAAGAAATAATAAACTGTACCAGTAATATTTTGAAATAAATTAAATAATCTATTAGAATTTCCATTTTAAAACGGATATCGTCTGACAATTACTGCTATTAAAAAACCGGAGATTTAGATAGTTTCTGGGTAAATTAAGTTATAGTATAGGTCTATTTTTCTTCGATATGTGAATTTAATTTTAAAATTAGCCACCGCCATATTCGAGACATTCCAAATAAGTCAGAAGGTAAAATTTATTTTCATTAGCTTTCACTTCATTACATTACCGAACTAGCAACTTTCAACTCGTTTCGCAAAAATTTTGTTTAGGTTTTAATGTATGCTTTATTTGTTCATTTAAACTTATTTTCTACAACACTACATATTATTTGATTTAAAAGTTCATATGCAGCGGCACTTTATTCCAGCTTTTTCATAATTAGGTTTTTAAAATGTTGGCAAAATTACCGAAATTCTATAAACATGGCTTTTAAATGTTTACACTGTATAAAATATTCGAAAAAAGCTAAGTAGATGGCTGGATTGCATTACATTAGCTTTCAAATTTCAGGCCTTCAGATATATCATCACCTCCTTTTCGCATTTATTATCAAAAATTGGTTGCCTGGGCGGCGCAGCAAATATTTACAGTGTATAAAAACATTTTGAGTTTGCAACATTCTGGTATGATATCATCACCTCCTGCATACCTGCCAACTTTTGCGCAATTTTATTTTTATATTTAAAGTGGTAGTAAATATATACTATATTTTCTTTTATAAGCTTAATTTTTAAATGATTATGATCACCATTATTATTAAAAAAATTAAGCATATATATTAATATGCGTTACTATCATGGTTACTATCATGCGTTACTATCATCGACATCATTACAGGCTCCCACGGGCATCACCTCAGATGAAGGAGTCAGTTGTCCGCTTCGCGGACAGGCACTCATTATCATTTTTCCCAGTGGTATTAAAATGGAATTAAAACTTCAATTTTAAGCAAACAAATATGATCAAAATCATTTAATAATTATAAAAGAAAAAAAAGTATATATTTACTACCACTTTAAATAAGAAAATAAAATCGTCCGGAAGAGTTGGCAGTTATGGGCACTCTGTTCTCAACTCCAGTTCAAGTTCATGGTTGTCAGCTGATGTTTTGTCAAATACAACGTATTTTTTTGCTTACAATTGAAATTTTAATTCCATTTTACTACCACTGGGAAAAATCATAATGGAAGGGATTAAAAGTTGGCAGGTATGCTTCCTGCATCAGAAAGCCTCCACACGGATTTTTAAAAGTAGTCTGCGCAGTAAGAAAGCTTTCACTATTATTATAATAATAAGCTATTCATTAATATTTATTTTATATTCGGTAAGGAAAAAATCCCAGTGAGTCAAATTTTTATTTTAAAGACTCTCAAGTTAAATTCACTGAACTTTTCACAGCAGACTTTTACTTAAGACGATTGTTTAAACTTTTAAATACCAGGGATGCCAACTGCTGTCTATTAATTTAAAATTAAAATATCCAGAATAAGAGATATTTTTGCCTGTTTTTTAAATGTCTCACCACGAGAGGACTACGACAAAGATGCATTTTATATCAGGCCAGCGATGCCAACTTGCTCCGGACAGCAAATATACATTTTAAAATGGTAGTTTATCAATTGGGTATACTATAGTCTACGTCACAGGTTGTGTTATTCCTACTTAACCCTTTCGCGCCGACTGTCACAAATACGTGACAGCAAAAAACCGTATCAATCAGGGTAAGAAGATAAAACTGGTAATCAAAGTATTTCTTTAGCAGTTTATTTGTAGGCGGAGTTATAATTTTTTGATTTATTTAATTCACCATTACTTTGTTCAAAATAAAACTATTTAGTTATACTTTGAATTAACATTGATTATATATATGATTAAACTAACAATAATTAAAATAAAAGCAAAGTAAGTCTGTCAAATTAGTAACGACTACATTTAAGTTACCGTTTTTTATTTAATTGCAACTTGATTCTGATTTTGTACGA